TCGCGCAAAACTCACCCCCTTGATGCATTCCAATCCCTCAGGAGACACAATCTCCTCGACATTCTCCGGAAACCTGACCTGCTCCTTCAAGATCGCCTGGGTGAGGGTCGAGTTCGTCTTCCCCCGGTACGGCCGCTTGCCGAACAGTAGCTCGTACGCGACGACGCCGAGGGACCACCAGTCGACTGTGGCGAAGTAGCCGCGTTTGGCGAGGACTTCGGGAGCTGCGCGAGGGGAACCAAGTCAGCTCACCCGGCCGAGCGAGAGGGGGAGCGCTGAAACGCACCCATGTACGCCATTGAGCCTGCAACAGACGTGAGCGCTCGTCGCTCGGTGAAATGGACGGCAATGTTGAAATCGGTCAAGTGCACGTGCCCCTTCTCGTCGAGGAGGATGTTGTCCGGCTTGATGTCGCTATTCGACGCATGAACCTGTCAGTCAAAGTCTTCGAAAGGGTGTCAGAGGCAGAGACGCACCGGTGGACGATTCCCCGCTTGTGCAGGTCGCCCAATGCAAGCGCCATCTCCGCAACATAGAACTTGACCCAATCCTCCTTCATCGATCCTAGCCGGTCGAGGTGGAACCGCAAGTCGCCGCCGAGCATGAGGTCGAGGACCATGAAGAGGTTCTCGTCATCTTGGAAAGCGAAGCGGAGGTTGCAGACAAAGGGCGAGTCGATCTCTTCGAGCAGTCGTCGTTCTTGGATGATCTGTGGGTCCAACGTGGTGAGTTTGGGCATCGGACAGGCAGAGAGCGAGAGGATCAGGACTCGAGGACGCACGTTGTTAACCGCCCGCTGCTTCGATATCCGCGCCTTGTTGATGTACTTGAGGGCGTACAGCGCCTTGGTCTTCTTATGCTGCACGACTCGTACCTGTGCAAACCGTGTCAGGTAAGTGTCTCGCCTCGCTCACGCACAAGCGCCTCTGTATGCGTGCACGATCCCTCCCGCTCGAGGCAGAGATGGTGTGTCCTGGTGCATACGTCGGCGACGCTACAGATACGAATGCAACGCACCTTGCCGAAAGCACCCTTGCCCACGGATCGCAAGAGGTAGAAGTGCCAGAGGTCGACGGGACCGTCGAAGTCAACTTCCTGTGCGGGTGTGCGAGCGGGATGAGCGGGTTCGACGGTGAGCCCGGCAGCTCCTGTACTCCGTCTCGAGTGTGACGGAACAGCCGTACGCACCTCTGGCTTGCAACACAGCGCACCCATCGCTCCTTGACCTCGTCGATTGTTTCCGCCCGAGTCGCGAGCAGAGGGTCAGGGAAGTCGGCTGGGTGTCACGGGGGTGTCGCAGGAGGTGCAGTCAGGTGTGCTACGAGTCCAGCGTGCCGTTTCGAGGGAGTGAGCGGGTGGTCGTGCGGGTCGAAGGTCGCGGGGGTGATGAGGAGTGTGACCCGGGAAGGGCGGGTGTGGGTCGCTCAGAGGCGTAGCAGTCGCAGCGTACGCAGTCTCAGCAGCACTGTCCACAGCACAGTCACTCTGCCAGCCAACGGGTTCGAGCTTTGGGGAGAACAGGCCCTTCGTCGTCGCCGTTCTCGACCCGCTTGCTTCCCCGGACGAACCGCTTCCTCGCTTCCCTCAACAAAGCCATTCCGTGTGTAACAGAGTCTTGCAGACTGTAATGTTGGAAACAGGGATGGTGGCGCCGTTTCAGGCGAAGAAGGAACTGCTGACGATCCCTTCGAGGAAGAGTCGGGAAAGGGTCGGCGAGCGCAGCGCAGGGCAGTGATGCGACGAGCGCAGCAGGAGCGGATCATCGCTGTAATGCAGCCATGACGGAGGCGTCAAACACTGGAGTCGACCGGTAATAGTTCCTTGTGGGCGAGATGAGGTGCCTCCGCTGGGTTGGAGCAGTCAGTTCGCCAGGGTCAACCGCGCCAAGAGCTCGACAGAGCCCCTGCTCTGTTCGAGCAGGGAGAAAGTAGAAGAGTCGACTTCAGCGGCGCTCGGGCGCTGAAGCGACGGGAAGCGGCGCGAGAGAAGCACGAGAGAAGCGAGCCCCAGCAAGTCCGCAAGGAGGCATCCGTCCAGTCGACCGGTCAGCCTGTCGTGCGTAGCTTTGTGAATTCGGGTGTAGCACATTCTGGCGCACAGGCGAGAAAGAGAGGCAGATGTCGACCGTTCGAAGCGAGGAGGATGAGAAAGCAAGTGCCGCAACTTCCGCCCACCTGAACGAACTTTGGTGCTGCCGCCTGTGACCAGTCCGTAGCATTCCTCCTCGTACTGAGCCTACATGCCAGCCCGCCCCGTGCCGTGGATGTGTCTGCCGGACCGAGATGGTGATGAGGATTTGAGCGAGCGTGGGTGACTTCGTCGCAGCTCGCCGGCGGTCGAGCGACACTTCAGCAGCTCGACCAGCAGTCGAAGGACCCCTCGCAGCCTGCTCAGCACGCTTTGAGCGAAGTGGGTGAGCGGTCTGTCGCAGACCGCCTCCGCGACTTGTTCGCCTGGACCAACGCCGGCGGACATCCGCTGTTGCTTCCTGCTCGGTCTGCGGTTGCTTAACTGGTCCCTCCGACTTGGCAATGACCACAGCGGTCCTCCCCGCTGACTGAGCGCCGATATACACCTCGTGCCGAACGTCCACGACACCTCTTGGCCTCCCTATCTTCACTGCTGTATGCCAAGTCGCCTCGCTCGACTGCCTCTCTCTTTCTCACGCTACATCGCTTCCCAACACTCTGCACGACCAGCCATGACAGACACCGCCTTCCGTCCCTCGTTCTCGCACTTTGGCGGGCCAGAGATCGCGATGATGGAGCGCTTTACGGGAGGTCAAGCCGTCCAGAGCTTACTCGAGCTGAGCGGTATCTACGAAGCGATCGAGAAGGCGGACAAGCCTGTTGACGTTGTCGAGAACGCGGCGGGCGCGGGAGTCCTCACCAGTGCGCTGAAGGCGAAGGTGAAGGGTGAGGGGAAGGTCAAGATCGTGATGGGGGATGTGGAGGAGAAGATGGTCCAGCTGGCGAAGCAGAGGAGGGAGGTCGAGGAATGGAAGGACGTCGAGGTCAAGGTCATGGACGGGATGGTGCGCTCGCCCGCCCCTTTCCTCCGCTCTCTTGCGTACTCAGTCGTGTACTCCTTTCGCTCGCAGAACGTCCCGCTCCCCGACAACTCGTTCGACTTTGCCTTCATCCACTTTGGCCTGCAACTCTTCCCCGACGCAGCCAAAGGCATCTCCGGTCCGTCGCCCTTCCCTCCGCTCTCCCTCACCTCCCGAGCTCACTCACATGCTGCACAGAATGTCACCGCCTCCTCCGCCCTTCCGGCGTGCTCGGCTACACCATCTGGCATTCCCCCGGCTTCCTCCCCCTCCTCCAACGCGCCGACCCGTCCTTCCGCATGCCTCCCACCTTCTCGAATCCCTTCACATCCCTCTCAACCCTCTCCACCACCCTCACCCACCACGGCTTCCTCAACCCGCGCACCGCGCCTCTCGAAGTCCCAGCACATTTCGAGTCGACGGACAAGTTCTTCGAGATGATGAAGCTGGGAGTGAGGGGGTTGTTCATGGATGAAGAGAGGAACGAGAGGATGAGGAAGTTGTTGGTTGAGGAGCATGGGGAGGGACCGTTTACGCTTTGGTGGAGGGGCGCGAGTGTGGTTGCTATCAAGGCGGAGTAGTGCCAGCATTCTTACTCTCGAGTAGTGCCAGCATTCTTACTCTCTCTCTCACTGAGAGAATCGTAACGAGCAGTCATCAGTGGGACGGCGTGTATTTGCAGACGGTCTTGTGAGGGAGAAACGATGCGAGCGACGTGAATAACGAGAAACGATGGCGAGGCAAAGCGACGAGCGCGGAAAGCTATGTACGAGTTGATGCGAGGGGTTCGTAAAAGAGGAAAGGCTACACGAGGATGGGAAAGCGCTTCGTGGCCGGGGCACGAGCAAGGCGTCCTAGACGCCGGGCGGAACGTAGGGCTACAGGCGAGTCGCTGGATGACGCGTGCGTGTGTGGATGAGTATGTACAGTGGAGGAGGGTGGCCGCTTAGTCAATCTCGACCTTGGGTCCGACGCCAAGGCCGTCTTCCTTCGACGAGTGCGAGCCGGACATCGAGAGGCCGGCGAGTCCTCCCGTAAGCGGGTTGCGCTTCTTGCGCTCGTCGTCGGTGCTGCTGGCAATCCGGTCGTGCGACGGACTCGAAGGCGCCGACTCGCGGATATCGTCGAGGTCGAGCATCTCGGGCGGCTTGATGTCGAGCGTGACGAGCGGGTTGGGGGGTGGAGCGCCGGGCGTCGAGCCTGCGTGCTTGATGCGCGAGCGGGCGTGCTCGGCCGGTGTCGTCGGAGGGGGAACGGTGTCGCTAGCGCACGAGGTGTTGACGTCTGCGCGCTCGGAGAAGGGCGAGGAGGCGGACGAGACGTCGTCCCCTGGGGACGAGAGGGCGTCGGACGTCGTGGACGACATTGTCGAGCACGACGAGTCGGAGAAGGTCGACGTGAGTGTCGACGGACGACGGGAGGACATGGCAAAGGACGACGCGCGAGACGAGTTGGCGGGCGTGTCCCACCCGTCTCCCTGGGGCGTCACCTTGCGTCGCGGGCTCGGCGGACGCTGCTGGACCTTGTACGGCGACGCGAGGATCTCTTCGCGCGGGGTGTTGGCGCGGCTCAGCATCAAGGGGAACGGGTAGCCCATCCCGGGCGTCGCGAGTCTGACGGGCTTGGGTTCGTGCACGGCGGGAGGGAGGCGTGCGGGAGGAGGAGCGCGCTGGTTCGTGCGCTGGTGGTTGCGCTGCTGCTGGGTCTGTTGTGGCGGGCTCGACGACGAGGTCATTGCGGGGTTGTAGCGGGGCGACGATGCGGTGGTGGTGGTGTGAGGCGGGTGCGAAGGCGAGTGCGCTGCGACGGCTGCCATTCGTTCGTGTGCGTGTGTGTGCGAGTGAGTCGTTTGCGGTCGAGGAGAGAGAAGAAGCGAGGACGAGCTTTGCCGAGGACCAGCGCAGCGCAGCGAGCGACGCAAAGCTGCGGGCTGGTCTTCGCGAAGCGCAGCGAGGGGCTGTGCTCGACTGCTCGATGACGACGGGCGAACCGCTCCGAGACACCTCTCTTCAACACGTGTTCCTCTCCCGGCGATACGAGGCGATACGCTCTTGCTTTCTCTTCCTCGCGAGTCTGCCGAGCATGTACATACTTCTCTCGACCTGCTGCGACTTGTACCGAGCGACGAGTGGCTGGAAGGACAGCGCCGTCGACCTTCGTGGTGACCCCTGTCGAGCGTACAGAAGCTTGTCGTCTTGTCCTGCAAAGCCGTCCCTCGCAGGTCATTCAACCACAATTCTCAACATGCACACCCACTTGTACTGACTGGACCTGTTCAAGGCATCTGAGACTGCTGGGTGGTCGATCGACAGAGCGCTCAACTACTCTGCCTCTGTCCCGCTTCGTCCCCTCGTTGCTCTCGCTGCGACTGCTGCTGCTCGTCTCCAAGCTCGAACAGTCCCCACCGACACGCCCAGGAGAGGCCGTGCGCGACCGAGGTGCGTTCGTCCGTCTGCGACCCCTTCGACACCCATCGAACGGCAGGCGATGCGGGCAGGATGCGACTTGGCACCCGCTCACAGCCGTCTCAACTGGACGCGCACTGACACACTCGCACTTGCCACAGACGGGGCTGGGACATGGGTCTCTTCTCGCGCAAGAAGCAGCGCGACCCCCAGCCGCAGCCGGGTCCTTCAACCACCGCGACGACGGGCTCTGGTGCACGCGCATCCCAGCCCTCGTCGAGCGGCGCAAGGGACAGCCACGCCTCTCCAACCTCCTCGACATACTCCTCCCTCCCTCCCCAGCCCGACTCGCGCCACGGAAATCCCGCCTCGCCGCCTCTTCCCTCCCCACTCGAGCGCAACCGCGTCTTCGGAGCGCTCGGCTCCCGCGCAACGTCGAGCACGCTCTCGCTCCCTGCGTTCGGGCTTGATGCGCGTGCGGCAGAACCGAGACGGAGACAGGTCTCGGCGATGGGGACGGGCGCGGTGAATGAGTCTCAGGCGCGGGAGGAGCGGGACAAGGGCAAGTGGAGTCGGTGGAAGATCGGGAGGGGGTCGAAGCAGCGCAGGGGCAGTGTTTCGAGCTCGTACGGCGCTGGAGGAGCGGCGGGGGGAGAAGCGGACGACGACGGGAGCGGGTTCGTCGTCAAGTCGTTCAGGACCGTCTCGCGCGTCCACGAGGATCCGATCCCTTCGCGCCCTTCGTACTCCTCAACTAGACCTCCCCAACCTACTCTGCCGCACCTCCCAACCTCCGCCCCGCCATTCGACGCCCACGACTCGGCCCAACAACAGGAATCCCTCCGCTCGTCACTCGACTACGGCTCTTCCCGCCCTTACCCTCGCCGCCCCTCTCTCGCTACTATCGGCGCACCGAACCCCTCTACAGGGACATGGGACCCCGCCCCCTCGCCCACCATTACAGCCGAAGCCTTCCGACTCGCTTCCGCACGCTCAAAATCGTCCGTCTCGCTCGCATCTCTCGCGAATGGGCTGGACGACCCTTCTTCGCCCGTCGAGACTTCAAGACCGCGCTTCGAGCCGCAAAGACCGGCCAGTCGCACGAGTCGCCGCGGATCGAGTTACTCCGAGCAGGGGATCCTAGTCCCGCCTCGACCGTCGTTCGCGATGGGCCAGCAATCCAACGGATCGAGCTCGTCGATTCATTCGCGCGCGTCGTCGAATGCCTCGCTTCAACTCGGAGCAAACGGGTTGCCTGGCCCTGCGGAAGGTGCGGATCGCGCGGCGTGTACTGCAAGACCGACTGGCGCGCTGAGGCCGTCCGAGTCGACTTTCTCTGTCTCGTCGTTCACCACCGCACCAGAAGGTCGATCCGGAACCTCTACTCCCCGTCCGCTGAGCCAAGTTGGCGGTCCCTCCTCCGCCCCGCCTCGTCGACCAGGTCCCGCAAAGCGCATGTCAACAGACGACTCCGAGCTGCGACTGATCGCTTCGTATGGGGACATGATCAGTTCGAGTCCGCCGCTCGGCTCGCCAATCGACTTGCCGGCTTCTTTCCATTCCCCCGCTGCTGCGCCGTTCCCTACCACTCGCCGCACCTCACTCGAGACACCCCAGAAAGGGGACACTACACGCCAGACGCGCACATCGACCCTCTCGACCGCCCCCTCAGTCGCCGTCCAGCCTCCTACGCCGCAGTCTGCGTCTGGGTTCTCCCCTGTCCCGAAGGAGGAGGCGCAGGGGTTCGTGAGGCCCAAACGGACTTCTTCGCTTGCGCCTGAGGGGGTGAAGAGTGCGTTGCGAGGGATGGGCGTCGGAGGAGAGAAGGGAAAGGGGAAGGGCAAGGCAAAGGGGTGGGTGAGCGATAGCAGCGATGATGAGGGCGCGAGTAGCGGATCAGACTCGGACAAGGACGACGAGGTACCGCTCGCTACGATTCGGAGTCGAAGTCAGACGGATTTGACGCTCCGCTCGAGTATGGATGGTGGGTCGAGGACGCCGGTGCTCGAGCAGCAGGGGCTGAGGCATCAACCGAGCGGCGAGTTGGAGGTGCTGAAGGACGCCACGTCGCCTGTCAAGAGCTTGTTCGGGCCGGACGCGAGGCGTGCAGCGTTGGGCGTCTCGCCCCTCCAGCGCAGGGGGTCAAACAGGCGCAGCGTGTCGACGCTCAGCTTCTCGACGAGCATGACGGTGTCGCAAGCTGCGGCCGCCGAAGCGCCGTCGACTACTGCGCCTGCGTCGCCGACGACGTCGACTATGCGCCCGCCTTTCCAGCCTCGGTCTGTCTCGAACCCTTCGACACCGACTATCCCGCCTCTCAGCGCGCTTTCAGCTTCCGCTGCGTCGTCCGCTACCGCCACTCCCGTCCCTTCTCCGCTCTTCGCTACTTCTGCGCGCGACAGGTCGTCCGCCTCCTCCGGCTCCGGCACAGCATCCAGCTCGTCCGTCCCGCACACGCCAAAGGACAACTCTCCCAACGTCTCGGACCTCAACTTCTCCACCGCCGCCCCGGCGCACGTATCCAAACCGTCCGTCAAGTTCGACTTGGGCTCGACCGCGGACGAGGCGAGGTGGAACAAGGGTCGGCGTATGAGTACGCAGTCTGCGCTCGGAGGGGGGTCATTCCTCCACCCACCTTCGTCGCTCGGCGCGCCGTTCGCGCATCGCTCGAACCCGAGTCTGCCGACTTTCGCTGGGTTCGGTAAACCTACCGTCGCGAGCGTGCGAGACGCCTCGACTCACGGCCGTACTGCCTCCGCTCTCGCACCAACTCCCGCCTCTCGCCAACCCGCCTCGAACGCCTCGACGTCCGGTATCGGCTCGTCCTCCTCCTCGACCGCCGTCGAAGAGACCGTCTACGACCGCATGAAAGCGCGCCACAAAGCCGAGGCTATCGAAGCGCTCAAGATCGGCCGCGACTTGAACCACCTGAGCGGACTCGTACCGGACCGCGAGCGCAACGACGACGATGAGGATGAGAATGAGCCGCTGGCGAATTTGCCGACGAAGGGATCGGCCTTGGGCGGGCAGAGCACGATGAGCGGGATGAGCGGGATGTTCATGCACCCAATGGCGATGGGGATGGGCGGGACGTACTCGCCTCTTGCTGTCGCGCCGCCTGGCGTCGACCCGTACCTCTGTGCGTGCTCGACGTCTCTCTCCTTCCCAGCGCGTGCTGACTCTCGCTTTGTATCGCACAGACGCCTCGCTCCCGCCCGACCAGAAGATGTCGCTTCACCAGCGCGCCTCGCAGATGATGGCGATGATGCAAGAGGCCGCCGTCCGCGCCAAGGCGGAGAGCGTCGCCGGCAGCGCGATGGGCGGCAGCGGGTCGAGCGACTTTGGCGGCGGCGGCGGCTCGATGCGCGGCGGACAGATGCCCAGCATGAGTTTCGGCTCGTACGGCGGCATGGGCGGGATGTACGGCCAGCCTCAGCCGCCACACCTCTTCCAGCAGCAACACCACCACATGCCTTCGCAGAGCATGCACCTCCCGCCTTTCGCTCCGTCCTTCGCCATGTCGCAACCTTTCTTCCAGCCTCAAGCACACCCCGGCTTCTACGGCATGCCAGCTTACGCCGGATCCGCCATGGGCCTTCCCTCGGGACCCGCCTCGACGATGGGCATGCCCGGCACTCAACGTCCTTCCGCCGCTGGCAAGGCGAGCTCGGCCGTCGGTACAGGTCAACGACGTCGATAGAATGCGCCTCGTTACAGCAGACGTGTCTTGGTTCCCACCTTACACTCACTCGACGACTCGACAGACACTTTTGACTTTCTTACCCTCCTTAACGTCGTCGTCCTAATCCCCGTACCCCTCGGCCTCTTAGCTAGACGGTACTCACTGCATTGCATCCGTCGCAAAGGACTCTGTCAATCGTGTGCCGCCGTCGTCTCTCGACGCCGACACCGCCTCTTTCGCTCCGTCTTGCCACTTTCGCGCTCCATCGCTCGTTCTCCGGCTTGCTATGGAGCTCTGCATCGCTTGTTCACGCTCTCTCGACGCTGCAGACGTCCCCAGCTACTCAGAGAAGACCGATCCGCCACCGACTCGCTTCTCCTGCGACCATCAAGTCTGCGGGGCCTGCGTGCGGAAGAGACGAACGCTGGGACAGGTGCGCACCCTTCTGACTCTCCGATGATATTGTTGGCTGACCTGGCATGCCTTGGCAGTCATGCATCCTTTGCTCGACGGCGCATGACGTTCTGAGCGGCGGGAGTTCATCGACGAGCAAGGCGCCCTCTCGTGCACCAAGCCCTGGACGACTGCCTTCGTACGACGGCCCTAGAAGAGCAGACGAGGCGGGCGATTTTGTTCTTGGCGACGATTCGGACGAGGAGGAGAAGGACTTCTCGTCGGCAAAGGCGGATCCGCCTCCTCCTCCTGCGGCAGAGGATTGGGGACAGCCGCCGGCTTACGAGGGGCACGAGGATGACGAAAACGTCGAGGTGGACGAGAAGCAGAAATCGTCGCAGCCGTCGATTCACTACGTCCGCCCGGAGGAGACGATGCTCGGGTTGAGCATGAAGTACGGCGTCGACGTGCGTTCTTTCGCTCGTGTTGACAAATCAAGGGTTCTCACTGACGCTGATTCTGGCTCGCTACCGCAGGGTACCCTTCTCTGCCGATGGAACAAGCTTCCAACATCGACACTTTCAACAACGCCTCACCTCCTACACACCCGCGAGTTCATCCTCCTACCGCCAGACGCCCGCGCTTCGACGTCGACAGAACCGGTCTTGCCGCCCGAGCTCGAACGGAAACGACTGGTCGTCCGGCGGTTCATGGTCACGACGAAGTGCACAGATTGGTCGATGGCGCAGACCTACGTCGATCAGGTCTTCCGAGCGCGGAAAGAAGAAGCGCGGTTTATACAGGAGAACAGGGCAGCGAGGGGTGACGTCGGCGAGGCCGTCGGATCGCGAGAAGGAGGCGAGCTGGAGGAGGCGGTCGAGGCGTACCAGGCGGACGAGCGGTGGGAGCGCGAGCAGCGGAACCTACACGGCGGCGTGAAGGGGAAGGGGGTCTTTGGGCGGCGGACACTGGAGCCTGGCGCGTCTGGGACGAAGGGAAGCAAGGGGTGGAGCTGGAAGTGAGGCGGTTTCTCGACTATGTGCTCTTCCTATTCCTTCGTTCTTCCTCCTTCGCTTGTTGCTACTCTTTCCGCATTGCATTCGTCGTTTCCTCCCCGTCGCATCGTCCACCCGTGAGAGCGTCGTCGTGAGCTTGCGCTGAGGAGAAGGAGGCGAGACGACCTCGGTGCGGAGGGACGCGAAACGGCCCAGCTGGCTCGTCCCGTCTACACAGACCCTCTCTACCGCACTGCCCATCTTAGCACGAGTGGACGTAGTGTGCTCGAAGCAGACCCGCCCCTCTCCGCTCGACCTCACCGTTGTCATCGCTACTGCTGCCTGTTGCGCTGCTGGGGCTGCCAGAACCGACTGCTTGCACAGGCCGACCCCTCTAGCCAGCCCCGCACCTCTCTCCTCCGTCCAGCATGCAAGGAATCCAGACGACCACCTCTGAGCGGGAGCAGACCCGCGTCGAGCGCATCGGTGCGTATGAGCGGTCCACTGGGTTATTTCAAGTGGCTTGACTGACCTGGGCATTCCCGCAGGCGCTCACTCGCACATTCGCGGCCTGGGACTCGACCCCACCACTCTCGAGCCGAGGGGCAACAGTCAGGGCATGGTCGGGCAGGGCAAGGCGCGCAAGGCCGCAGGAGTCATCCTCAAGATGGTCAAGGAGGGCAGGATCGCGGGACGAGCGGTGTTGATGGCGGGTCCGCCGAGTTCTGGCAAGACTGCTATTGCGATGGGTGCGTTTCCGCTCCTGCGACTCCTTGCTGCTGTTCCTTGAGCCGTGGAGACAGTCCCTGCGGCTGAAGGATCTCGACCGGAGTTGTGACAGCTGATCGCGAATCACCCGCAGGCATGGCTCAGTCTCTTGGCAGCGATGTCCCCTTCACCATGATCTCGGCGTCCGAGATCTTCTCGCTCGAGATGTCAAAAACGGAGGCGCTGACGCAGGCTTTCCGTCGGAGTATCGGCGTCCGGATCAAGGAGGAGAGCGAGATCATCGAGGGCGAGGTTGTCGAGATCCAGATTGACCGCAGCTTGACTGGCGTACGTGCTGTCTGCTCAATGGCGAGGCTTTCTGTCGCTCACTAATCCCCGCTCCGCAGGCCTCGAAGACGGGCAAGATCACGATGAAGACGACGGACATGGAGACGGTCTACGACCTCGGAAACAAGATGATCGATGCGCTGTCGAAGGAGAAGGTCATTGCCGGAGACGTCATCGTCATCGACAAGAGCACGGGCAAGATCTCGAAGCTGGGACGGTCGTTCACGCGGGCGCGGGACTACGATGCGATGGGTGCCGACGTGCGTCGACTTCCAGCTCGAAGGCTTGAGGCGTCCGGTTGACCCGCCTTGCGTCCACAGACGAAGTTTGTGCAGTGCCCCGAAGGCGAGCTGCAGGTTCGCAAGGAGGTCGTCCACACTGTCTCGCTCCACGAGATCGACGTGATCAACTCGCGGACGCAAGGGTTCTTGGCACTCTTCGCTGGTGCGTCCGCCATCCTATGACTCCAGCTAACTCCGCTGACACCGCTCTTACGCAGGCGACACGGGCGAGATCAAGGCCGAGTTGCGGGATCAGATCAACAACAAGGTCAGCGACTGGCGGGAGGAGGGCAAGGCAGAGATCGTGCCGGGCGTGCTGTTCATTGACGAGGTGCGCACACATGATGCTCCCGTCAATGTCGCTGAGCTAACTCTTGGAGCGGTCAGGTCCACATGCTCGACATCGAATGCTTCTCCTTCCTCAACCGCGCTCTCGAGACCGAGCTCGCCCCCATCGTCATCATGGCCTCGAACCGCGGCATTACCCGGATACGCGGAACGAAGTACAAGAGCCCGCACGGTATTCCCATCGACCTCCTCGACCGCGCCTTGATCATCTCGACTGGGGCGTACTTGGCCGACGACATCAAGGAGATCCTGTCCATTCGGTGAGTTGCAGAACAACCTGAGCTCCCTTGACTTGTGCACTGACCGCTCTTCTGCCCCAGCGCACAAGAAGAGGACGTCTCGCTCGCGCCTGCCGCGCTTGAGATCCTCACCAAAATCGGCTCCGAGACCTCGCTTCGTACGCTCCGCTTCCCGTCCGAATACGGCAGAACCCTGCTCTGACCACTGGTTCGTTCGCAGGCTACGCCATCCAGCTCATCACCCTCTCGAACCTTGTTGCTCGCCGACGAAAGGCGGCGCAGGTGGACGTGCCGGACGTCAGGCGTGTATACACCCTGTGCGCTCGCCACCTACTTCCTTCAAGTTATTCTCGTACTGACTCTCAGCCCACTCGACAGCTTTCTCGACGAGAAGCGCAGTGTGCAGTTCCTCAAGGAGCAGAACTCGCTCCTGATTGGCGAGGACGGCCAGATTGGCGGCGGAGCGAGCGTGGACGCGATGGAAGTCGCGTAGCGATGTCGCTAGCATGCAAAGACTGTCCCGCTTGTCATACCTGCTCGAGAGTCTGTCACGCGAGTTGTTCGTGTTCCAGCGCGACTTCATCGCTTTGTCTCGTCCACTTCACTTTCTCGCTTCCCACCGCCCGTGTCGTCTCCAAAGCACGTCCGAGATGGCACAGGCTGCCGTACCGCCGCTGCCCTCGCTCGCCGCTTTCCTCGAGCGCTTCTCCGCCCTCGTCTTCTCCCCCTTCTGTCCGCCATCCATCTTCGTCCACTCGCCCAGTGACTCGCCCATCTTGCTGCCAGCCTTGCAGCAAGTGCTCAATTCCGCCATCCAGCCGTCCGATGCGCCCGCGAGCGACCCGCCCACAGTCGAGCAACTCCTGCCCAAAGTCGCGCACCTCGACCTCTCGGAAGTGCACTCTGTCAAGGCTGCTTTCGACCGAATCTTGAGCCAGCTAAGTGGGTGGGAGCTTGCAGACGGAACTGCTTGGGAAGAGCGAGACGGCGGGATCAAGGGTTGGGATGGCAGTATGGACGGGATCAAGGTCGTCAAGCGGCGAAAGACGAAGCGGAAGGCGGGTCAGGCTCTCGAAGGCAGGACCGCAAAGCGCGCGCGGCGAGAAGACTCGGAGGATCTTTATGCGGCGCCGGACGAAGATGCGGGGGAGGCGGAGGACCCGGATGACGGAGACGAGGCGGAGTGGACGCTCGAATGGGACGCCGACGCTCGCGCTGCGGCCGACAAGCCGACTCTTGCGCCACTGCGGAACACCGTCGACGCCATCCACCACTCCTTGCGGACCATCTACTCGGCTTCGTCTTCTGGTGACTCCTTCACCACCGATCTACTCGCGGACCCGACATCTGTCGACAATCTGCCTCGCCGACGGTTCATCCTCGTCGAGCACGGCGAGCTGCTGAGCGAAGTTGCGGGAGGTTCGGGTACTGGCGGGGGAGTAGCGAGGGAAACGGGCGTCGGCTTGACCTTCGCGAGCACTATGCACAGGTTGGCGGAGCTCGTCAGTCCCGTCCCTCCGCCAGAGTCGCTGAAATGCTGACCGAGAGTTGCGCAGACGGGCTTGCCGATCACGACCATCCTCGTCTCGAAGCTGCCTTGGCGGAAAGCGCGAGAATCGATGGTCGGGCTGGTCTCGCCAGAAATCCTGACGTTTGAGGACATCTCCGCCGCAGGTGAGCAAATCTCACACATCTCTACGGCCGGCCACTGACGGAAACGCTCACAGACACGGTTACCCTCCTCACCGACCGCTTCGCCGCCTCTCCCGCCTCGCATCCTTGCGAAGCTGACGCGCTCGACCACGACCAGCTCGTCGAACTTTTCCGCTCGCTCGCCCTCATCGTCAAGACGACGTTTGGTAAGGCTGTCAACGATTTCGAGGACTATGCGTACCTGTGCACGAAGTTCTGGCCGCGGTGGAAAGACGTGAGGGAGAAGAGCAATCGTGAGTCACTGATTGCCTCTAGTTACCGCACTACATCGACTCAGTCCTACATTCGCAGCTCCCATCGCACCAAGCGACACGGCTCGACTGTCCATCGCCCTCAAGAGCGACTTTGCACAAGAACTCGACCGGCTCTTCCTCCCACGCTTGTCGCAGGCGGCGCCGACGAGTGCTCCGGCCGCACCTACTGCTTTGACCGCGGCAGCGCAGGCAGCACCGGTGCTCGGCTTCACCGGTACCATCTCTGCCTTGCCTAAGCAACCGACCTACCTCGACTCGCCAGCCAAGACCGGCAACGACTTCTTTGCCTCGGCTTCTACTTCAGCCTCGCCTGCCCGACCATCGTACCAGGACGACCCCTTCGCAGCGCCCGCAGGGCCATCAACACCAATCCGCAAACACGCAGTCTCGGCAGCGAACGTCTCCTCCGGCTCTGGCAACCTCTTCTCGCCCTCTTCCGCCACGACCAGCCGCAACAGCATCTCGCAACTCTCGCTGGCCAAGTCGCTACCGATCGCGTCGCGCTACCTCCTCATTGCAGCCCACTTCGCCGCCAACAATCCGCCGAAGAGCGATGTCAGGATGTTCGTGAGGGTTGATGAGCTCGAGGGTGTGGCGAAGAAGGGCAAGAAGGCGAGGAAGGCGAGCGCGAAGAAGGCGGGGCAGAGTCCGACAAAGGTGCGTCCTTACTCGAGCTCGTTCGGCAAACTGGAAGCTGACTTGATCGTGTTTCGCCGCAGGGCTCCGCCTCTGTCCTCCTTCGCGGCGGCAAGTCGTTCGCCTACGAGCGCCTGATCGCCATCTTCGAATCCATCGTCGACTTGCGCCTCGAATACGCCCTCGGGACCACCTCTATCGCCGGCCAAGTCCAGACACTCCTGCACCTGCGCCTCCTCTCGCGCGCTTCGAGCGAGAACAACACGGAGAAGATCCTCGACGGCGTCAAGCTCAAGTGCGGGCTGGCGAGGGACACGGTGGATGCGCTGGCGGTCAGCGTTGGCTGGAAGGAGTGGAAGGAGAGGCTTGTTGGCGACGACTCCTAAGTCGCAGCGTTGTCTCGGCGGGCCCGTCGGGCGACCACGACGGAGCTCGACGATGTACCCGCCGCTCTCACGCAAGAGAACCGATCCCGCGCCTTGTTCGAGGCTGAGAAGGCCGTTGCGAGGAGAGGAAGCGCCTCTCGAGCATCTCTCGCTCGTCGCCTTTCGCTTCAAGCAATCTATTCCCTGCAAAGCCAGTGACTAGACAGCCTCTGCGAGCCTGTACGCTGTCCCAATCCGCCCGCTGGCCTCGCGCTGACCCTGGCCGAACACATCGATGTCATGAAGTTGGTTTCTCTCTCCTCTTTCCACCACACCATGTCTGCGAACCCGCTCGACCGTGTCGCTCAGCAGCTCGAAGCTATCCTGCCAGGCGGCGGGCCCAAGTCGCCCCATCTCTCAGGCGCCGAGACGCCTCCGCCGTTCGCCTTCCAGTCGCCAGGCGAAAGTCAGCCCCAGACGCCCGGCAAGCGCAGGACTCGCCTGGCATGCCTGACCAGCGGAGGAGACAGTGCTGGAATGAACGCTGCCGTGCGCGCAGTCGTCAAGATGGCCATCGCGCGGTAAGTCCTTCGCTTCCTTCTCTCGGGTCGGTCGAAAGGAGATGAAGCGCAAGATACGGCTGGCAACGGCGCGGGACGGGCTGGCGAAGTGAGGATAGGCGCAGACTATGATCGTGAAGGATCTGCATTGCCGCTCGAGCTGCCTGAGTCGGGTCTTGAGCCCTCATCACCTCGAGAAGAAGCGGGACGGGAGGTCGGGCTGGGCTGCGTCATACTTCGACTTTTTTCGCGGGACAGCGCTCCTTCAGACTGCTCACACTGTTGCTGACATCGTTCTTGATCGACTGTGCAGCGGCTGCGAGGCCTACGTCGTCCGCGAGGGTTGGGAGGGTCTCGTTCGCGGGAACCAGGATGCGACCGCTCACGTCGAGACCCCCGCAACTTCCCCTCCTCTGGCCGGCGCACCGACTGCCATCGACCCCGAGACGTCGAAGAAGAAGCGCGGCGGATTCGTCGCGACGTACGGAGAGGGAGAATTGCTCAAGGAGGGTGAGGGCGAGCAAACGCTCCGAGGGCGCTACATCATCCGCGTGAGTCCGAGGGTCTCTCTGCAGCACTCGGAACTGTGTTGACGAATCTCTGGCAGGTCGGCTGGGACGACGTCCGTGGCTTCGCCGCTATCGGCGGAACCTTGATCGGCACTGCCCGCTGCGCCGCCTTCCGCGAGATTGAGGGCCGACGAAAGGCTGCGCTCAACCTCGTCCGGCACGGTATCGACGCTCTCGTCGTCTGCGGCGGAGACGGATCTTTGACCGGAGCGGACAAGCTGCGGGCGGAATGGCCGGAGCACATGCAGGCTCTCCTTGAGAACGGTGCGGTATTTTCCCAATCAGATGCTGCGATGACGTACTGACACCCTTTTCGCACAGGCGACATCACTCAGGACCAGTACGACACCTACAAGCACCTCAATATTGTCGGACTCGTCGGAAGTATCGACAACGACATGGCCGGCACCGACATGACCATCGGTGCGCACGCAATGGACCAGCCAGTGTCACTTGAGGCTGACCGTTCTCGCTTTCAGGCGCCACGACCGCCCTCCACCGCATCTGCGACGCTGTCGACAGCATTTCGTCGACCGCATCCTCCCACTCTCGCGCCTTCGTTGTCGAAGTCATGGGCCGTCACTGCGGCTGGCTCGCTCTCATGGCCGCTATTGCGACCGGCGCCGACTACATGTTCATTCCCGAGCGGCCACCCACTGCCGAGGACTGGCAGACTTCGATGTGCAACGTTCTTTCGCGCGTGAGTGGCCTTCAGTCTGTTCGCTGCAGGCCGTCGACTGACGTACTTTTTCGCAGCACCGCGACGAGGGCAAGCGCAAGACGATCGTCATCGTCGCCGAGGGCGCGCACGACTGCAACCTCAACCCGATTACGCCCAACGACATCAAGGACGTCCTCACCAACCGCCTCGGTCTCGACACCCGCGTCACGACTCTCGGGCACACCCAGCGTGGCGGCAACCCCGTCGCTTACGACCGCATCCTCGCCACCTTGCAAGGAGCCGAAGCCGTCGAGGCTGTCCTCTCGTCGAACCCCTCGACTCCCTCCCCCGTCATCGGCATTCGCGAGAACAAGATCACTCGCCGGCCGTTGATGGAGGCCGTCGCGCAGACGCAGGAGGTCGCCAAGGCTATCGAGGCCAAGGACTTCACTCGCGCTCTCAGCCTCCGCGACCCCGAGTTCGAGGACTGCTTGCACGCTTTCCGTGCGACTACGAGGCTCAACACCGAGTATCGCGTGCCCGAGTCGCAGCGCATGCGCATCGGTATCATCCAGTGAGTAGCGAAACTTGTCTTGCGCCTTTCGCCGAAGCGCGACTGACTTGGCTGTCTCTCGCGCAGCACCGGTGCTCCTGCAGGCGGTATGAACGCAGCGACCCGCACCGCCGTCCGCTACTGCTTGTGCCACGGCCACACGCCCGTCGCCATCTACAACGGTTTCGCCGGCCTGCTCGAGGGCAACGTCGCCGAGCTGACCTGGCTGCGCGTCGACCAATGGGGTACTCGCGGCGGCTCCGAGCTCGGCACGAACCGCGCCTTGCCCGACAGCGACATGGAAGGCATCGCGGCCAAGCTTGCCGAGTATCAAATCGACTCGCTCTTCATCGTCGGCGGCTTCGAGGCGATGGTTGCGGTCAACCAGCTTGACAAGGCGCGCGACAGGTACAAGGCGCTCAAGATCCCTCTTGTTCACCTCCCCGCGACCATCTCGAACAACGTTCCCATCACCGAGTGGTCGATCGGTTCCGACACCTCGATCAACGTCCTTGTCGACGCTTGCGACGCCATCAAGCAGTCGGCAACGGCGTCGAGGAACCGTGTCTTCGTTGTCGAGACTCAAGGAGCGGGATGCGGCTACATCGCCATGCTCGGTGCTCTTGCCGTGCGTTCTGCCTCCTTCCTCTCGCTCGCATCTCGTGCTGACTTCTGCGGTTCGCTCAGTCTGGCGCAAACATCGTCTACACGCCGGAGAACGGCATCACGCTCAAGCAGCTCGTCGACGACGTCGAGTTCCTCAAGCGGCGCTACCAGCAGGACGTCGCCGGCAAGAGTGAGGGTCGCCTCGTCATCCGGTGCGTCGTACTCGCCTCTCTCACCTCGATTGACGAGCAGGACTGACAGTGCACGCGCAGCTCGGAGAAGGCGTCCAAGACCTACACGACCGAGGTCATCTCGAACATCCTCGCCGAGGAGGGCAAGGACCTGTTCGACTCGCGCCTCGTCTCGCTCGGCCACACGCTGCAGGGCGGCGTCCCCTCCCCTCGCGACCGCACGCGCGCCGTCCGCCTCACCGTCAAGTGCATCGACTGGCTCGAGCAGCAGCACGGATCGAAGACGCCTGGCGCTGCGTCGATCGCCATCCAAGGCGCCGAGATCCGCTTCGTCCCCATCGCGGAGATGATTGCTGCGGCAGACACGAAGCACCGCCGCGGAAAGGTGCAGTGGTGGACGCCGATGCAGCGCTTGGTCGACGTCTTGTGCGGCAGGATCAACCTCGAGAACGAGCCGCTCAACGCGGGCATCGTCCCTCTCGCCGCGACGACCACCGCGACGCAGACGTCCTGAATGCGGAACTTGTCCTTGGGTGGAGGTAGGAGGAGTGAGTCGGCGGTCGGTTTGAAGAGTGCGGACTTGGGTTCGGATTGCATAGAACAACAACGTGACAATGTACATAGCCCATTGCATGCACTCTCGCTGTCCCTCGTTGCGAGTCGCCGAACCGCCTTTTGCGGGCCGTGGCAGCGACGGAAGCGGGGTGTGTGAAGCGACGCCAACGCTTGCCCTCGCTCCCTTGACTCGCTGGTCACGCCGGGACAGCTCACAGCGACCACAGACGACGCCAGCGACCCGTCAGACTGCTCCCGCGTGGTCAGTATCCCCCGCCACCCGCTTCAAGTGGGATCTGGACCCCCTCGACTTCCCCTCGCATCCCCTCCGCCCCCCGCTCTCTCGCTTGCCATTCACTCGACGCACGATGGGACTGCTCGACTTGCTGCGTGCAAAGCGGAGGAAGAGCCGGGTCTCGCTGGGGGAGAAGACGGCGTACGTTCACTCCACTTATCCTCGGTACATCCGCAGAGGGCGTCGGATGTTGACGGGCTCGTTCTCCGCAGACCGACGAGATTGCTCAGGTTGCACAGAACGCGATCCCTGTCGCAGCCAACCCTGCCGGCCGAGATTGTCCTCTACATCTTCCACCTCGCCTTTGTCGACAATCCCGCGTCGGCATGCACCCTCGCCCTCCTCTGCTCCGAGACGCGCGATCGCGTTTGTACGGCACTCTACACTGCACCGACGCTCCGCTCGACGACCCAGATCAATGCCTTTATCCGAACGGTGAAGCGTAACCCGCGGCTCGCCGGGATGGTCCAGCGCGTCAGGCTTGACGGCTGCGCGAGTCGCAAGAGCCTCGCCAAGGGCATTGCGCCTGGACCGGATCCGCAAGAGATCGGCCGGAGGAACCCGTTGACGACGAGGTTGTCGACTCTCCTCGAGTTGTGCCCGAACGTCGTCGAGCTCTGCCTCGTCCGGACGGTAGTCTTCTCCCTCCTCGACTTTGACAACGCCTACAATGTCCGCCACCTCACCCTCTCGTCGTGCGTCCTCTCCGACCGGACGACGACGTCCCGCTATCACCCGTTCTTCACCGTCATACCCGCCCTCGAGAGCCTCACCATCCGCAACACTCAGTTCGACACTTCGACAGCCGCACACTTCCTCTCGCCTCGCACGCTGCCGAAGCTCTCAATCCTCTCGCTCAACGGATGCAGCCTCATCGACGAGCCTGGCTCGTTGAACGACCTTGGGCCGTACGAGCCGGTCGATCTTGCGCCAAACCTCGAGTCCCTCGAGTTACTCAGTATGCCAAACCAACGCGGCGATGAGAACGCTGTGGACCCGCTCGACCTCGTAGCCAAGTGCCCGTCCTTGCGGAACCTCACCTTGCCCGTCTCGTCCCTGTCGCCACAGGTACTCGACAGCCTGCCAGTGCAGCACCTGACGCACTTGACGGTCCTTCCGCCCGCTCAAGGCACGGCAGACGTTTTCGAGCCACATCTCGCCGCCGCCCGCGCGCTCTCTACCTCTTTCCTTGCGCTCGCCTCGAGTTCAGCCAGTGCCTCCGCCTCGCCCGCCTACACTCCCTTCCGTTCTCGCACGCCCATCTCAGCTTCGCCGTCGACGCCTCCTACACCGCTCGCCTTGACGCCCTTTCCCTCTCCCGGTCTCGCCTCTCCCCTCTCCTCGCCCTTTGGTACCGACTCTCCCCTCCCTCTCTCGCAATTGCTCGTCCTCACCCTCCCGCAAAGCTGGGACCTCGATACTCTCACCTCGTGGAAAACGAACGGTGAATTTGCGTGGGCCGTCGGGCGGATCAGGCGCGAGTGTGAGAGGCGTGGAGTGGAGGTCCGGTGGGTTCAGGACGGGGGTCAGGGGAGGAAGGCGATGGACTGGACGGGGGAGAAGGAGAGGCTGCAGGAGCAGATGGAACGGGTGAGGAGGGACGTCGAGAGGGTGCAGAGGGGGTGATAGACGCTTTCGTTGGCCGTTGGCGACTTGTAGCCGGTATCGTAGACTGTATTAGACGATATTGCAGCACCCAGCAAGCCCTCCCGTTGTACTTCACCACTCACTTCGTTGTAGCTGGTTGAGGCGGTGCCAAGCTCACCCGTTGACCGCTTCCCTCGCTCGCTCAACTCGCTCAGCTGGTTCTATCGCTTGTGGTATCGCCTGATATCTAGACTCTGCTCCAACTGCACCAGCCAGCGCCCGCCTTCGAGCGCCATGAAGCTCGACGCGACCGACCTCCGCTACATCTCCGCAGACGCATTCCGCGTCCTCTCTGCCGTGCGTGGCCTGTTTGACACCCTGAACCTCCTGACACGCCGGACTGACACACCCTCGCCACTTCGCAGGTCGAGCAAGGCTCGAAGAACCACGAACTCGTCCCCTCCGCTCTCATCGCCCAAATCGCCGGCTCGCGCTCAGGAGGCGTCAACAAAGCGCTCGGCGAGCTAGCGAAGAAGAAGCTTGTTGCAAAAGTGCAGAATGCCAAGTGTGCGTCCGGGTCCCGAGGGTTGCGGGAGGGAAGCTGACCTTGAGGTGAGCGGACAGACGATGGGTACAGGTTGACGTATGGCGGGTACGATTTCCTGGCGTGTCGGACGTTTGCGAAGAGGGATACAATCTACAGCGTCGGAAATCAGATTGGGACGGGAAAGGAGAGTGGTGAGTCGGGACTTTCATCGCGGGTGCCCTCCAGGCTGGCCGACCGACTGCTGGCAGAGCTGTACCTGCTGGAGTCCATTACTGACGCAACACTCGTGTGCAGACATTTACGTTGTGGCGAACGAAGATGACGAGCAGATGGTCATGAAGATCCACCGGTACGTTGCCTCGTTCCGCCGCTTCACCAGCGCTGCTGACCCTGCTTGTCGCTGAAACAGACTCGGTCGCATGTCCTTCCGCGCCATCAAGTCGAAGCGAGACTACCTGCGAAAGGGGCAGTCGGCGAGCTGGATGTACATGTCGAGGTTGGCGGCGATCAAGGAGTTTGCTTTCATGAAGGTCCGTTCGCTTCCTGACGAGTGACTTCGTGTGCATTTAGCTGACGTTCCCGTCCTCTACCAGGTCCTGCACGACCACGGCTTCCCAGTTCCTCGACCAATCGACCAGTCGCGGCATTGCCTCATCATGGAGCTCATTGATGCCTTCCCTCTGTGCGTACCCCGCTCAGTACGATCTGTATTCCATGCGCTGACAGTGTCCGTCGTCTCCCGCCCAGCCGCCAAATCTCGTCCGTCCCCTCACCCGGCGCTCTCTACTCCGCCTTGATGGACATGATCGTCCGCCTCGCCCGCTCCGGCCTCATCCACGGCGACTTCAACGAATTCAACCTCCTCATCCGCGACCACCGGACCGAAGCCGAAAAGGCGCGAGACGACGAGACGCCTGATGAGCGGGACGAGCGGATTGAGCGCGAGAAAGGGGACTTCCCGGTCAAGGTTGAGCTGGAGGGAGAGGAGTATGAGGAGCGGAAGAGGAGGGAGAGGGAGGGCAGTCTGCTCGAGCCGGTCTTGATCGACTTTCCGCAGATGGTCAGTACGGACCACCCCGACGCAGAGTAGTGAGTCGCGCTTCCGTTTCCTCGTTCCCCCGTCTCCCGAATTCACTGACACTGGCGCTCGCCGGACAGCTACTTCAACCGCGACGTCGAATGCGTTCGAATCTTCTTCGCGCGACGATTCAAGTACGAGTCGAGCGTCTACCCGAAGTTCACCTCTGTCGTGCGCGACGGCGTGAGAGAGTTCGACTTGGACGTGGAGGTCGCGGCTAGCGGATTCAAGAAGGAGGACAGGAAGGTGTTGGAGGAGGTACGTAGCCCTCACCTTCGCTTCGCCAAGTCGTTGCGAGCTAGCTGACCCTCGCGCTTGCGTAGTACATGGCTGAGCTTGCGGCTCACGATGAGAAGTACCCGGAGGAGGAGGAGCGGGAAGTGGCGTCGGACGAGGAGTACAGCGACGAGTCTGAGGAGGAGGACGAGGAGGAGGCGCAGGGCGTCGGTGAGCGGACAGGCGAGGCGGAGCGGCTGCCTGAGGTCGAAACGTTGCGGATAGGCGACGCTGAAGCCGCAGACGAGGCCGAGGAGGAAGGATCGGAGGAGGACGAGGAAGACGAGGAGGAGGAGGAGGGTTCGGAGGAGGACAGCGACGCCTCGGACGCCGACTCGACCGGGTCCACAACCCGCCGGCGACGGCAGCAGGGCGCATCTGAGCCTCGCATCGGGCGACGACCAGCACGGCAGAACCGGGACGTCGAGTCGATCGTCTCGTCGTCGCTGTCGAAGCAGAAGGCTCGGCAAGAACGGCGGCACCACGGCAAGAAGCCCGTCAGTGCAAACGTCCTCGGCAGGCAGAAGGGCAGCAAGAAGAAACAGAATGCGAACCAGCGCGAGGCGAGGGCGGCGACCAAGTCGGGGAGGGGAGAGGCGTTCTTCTGAGTCCATCCTTCGCCGCCGCGCCTGCGCCTGCAATACTGTTGTTCTGACGCTCTCACAGACCTGTCTCTCGCTTGGGAACGTCGCTCTCGAGTTGTCCAAACTTGACTTCGCGAGGAAGACGCGCCTGTCGACCCTCGACTTAATCGCTCGCTAGCTCGTGCTGCTTCCTGGGCTCGTCTGTGTGCCTGACACTACTGTTGACACGCTATGGCAGTGCACGCATCGACCTCGCAGCGCCGCCAGCGCGCCGCGAGCGACGCTTCCTCCGACGCAGGCGATGCGCGACGAAACAAGGGCAAGCGCGCGAGGGAGGCGGAGAGCGACGAAGAGGGCGACCATGAGCGGGATCTGGCGAACCTCGACATCAAAGACCCGGTCAAGACGTGCAGGCACTTGTTCTTGCAGGCGCTCATCTCGAGGAGGACGATGCCGCTCGACCTCGCCGACGCGCTGTACAAGGAGTGTGTCAGGCTGTGCAGGGGTGTGTTGGTTCTCTTACACTGCGAGAAGGCCGCCAAGCAGTCTTTATCGGCAAGTTGACCTCCCGCGACTGCTCGCCAACAGTCGAAGGACCTGAACCGCTCAACACGTTCATCGCCAAGATGGAGCCTGGTCTCGCCCTCTGCGGACTCGACATCAAGACGACACGCGACCAGGAGTCGGGACAGGGCATGCTCGTCCTGGTGAGCCGGATTCGCTCACTTTCCCGCCTCACTACCTGGCTGACCTTTGCCCGCTTTTCCCAGGTCAACACGATGCAAGACGAGCCTGCGAAGTTGGCGACGGAGTACAGGGCCGAGGAGATTGCGTTCTTCAAGTCTATCGTGCGTTCTCGATGCGTGTGTTCCTGCTCTTCGCGAATGACCTGTCTTCTCGCCTCGCCCAGGTCGAGCGCATCATGCTCGCGCCTAAGCTCTCGTACAGCATCACGCAGACCGACGTGATCCGGCTCGCCAAGCAGCCTGTCACGAAGGCTGGCGCCATTCAGCTTCTGAAGAGCTTCCTCGCGAAAGGTGCGCACTCCTGGTCCTCCTTCGTTCGGCCCACTCACACAGCTCGTCCTCAGGCTGGCTCTCACTGCACGAGTCTGGTCGAATTGTCCTGTCGCCTCGCTCGCTCGTCGAACTCGCACCGTACCTTCGCGAGCAGTTTGACCAGGAAGAGGACGAGGCGGAGGACGCGAGGAACCGGACAGTCGTCGACTGCAACCTCTGCATGGGTATCGTGACCAGCGTGCGTCGCCCTTCCTTCCCTTCCCCCAGCCCGAGGATTTCGTATCTCGGCTTTCCCTTCGACCTTCCCGAGACTACCCCTAGCATCTCGCGATACCAATCGACATCTGCATTGTTCTCCTCCGCCATCACATCCACTCTCGCAATTCCGCCAGCTCGAGATCGCAATCAACGGAGGCATTGCTCGTGTCCGTCCCTGCCCCGAATACCCTCGCTGATCCCCGACTTGTCCGACGCAACTCGCAGGGCTACGCATGTCCGAACGAGGATTGTGGTGTTCGGCTGCATACGTTCTGCGTTGCGCAGCGGCTTGGGAACGACGGCAGGTGTCCCGACAGGCTCGACGACAAGCCGAACCCGTGCCCTCAGTGCGTCGAACCTTCAACATTTCGCTCATCGTGCTAATATCCAGCTTCCTATCCTCGCAGGATCTGGCCTCGCGACCCGCAGACTCGCAAGTTCCACGGCGTGCCCATCGGCGTCGCAGCCTTGGGTCTCGGAGGCGACGAAGAGTCGGACGCAGGGGCAACGAGCGACGTCGAGACTGGTGCGGGGACTCCTGCTGCAGCGAAGAAGAAGGGCAAAGCTGCTGCCGCGAAGGGGAGGAAGGCTGCTGCGAGCGGCAAGAAGGGGAAGAAGCGGACGAAGGCCGACGAAGACGAGGTGGAGGAGGACGAGCTGGACGAAGACGAAGGTGCGCTCACACCCTCTGGCCGAGCCTGATCGTCTCTGCTTTCGGATTGCCTGGAGGCTGACGCCGCCCGATTCCGCTTCACTTCTTGCAGAATCCGATGCCGATGCCTCAAATCGTCAGCGCGCCAGCAGCTCGCCTGCTGCCACTCGCAAATCCTCTCGCACGGCGAAGAAGAAGCGTACTGTGCAGTCGGACGATGACGAGGAGGAGGAGTAACGCGAGACGAGAGGGGCACTGGCGAATCGAGTACTAATAGCTGTTTTCCGTTGTTGTAATGCTTCGCTTTTCGTATCCGCAGCTTGCATGCTCGCCCTCTCATCATGATAACACTGGCAGGAGTCAACAACACTGCGGTCAGACTGTTCCGCCGCTTCTTCCGCCGATTGAGGTCACAAACGACGATGCTTGCAAGCTGCCTACTCCTCCTCCATCTTCTTCAGGTCCGCCATGTTCGTCCCCTCCACGCTCACTCCGATTAGCTCGAGCTTGTCAACCCTCGTCACGTCCACGCCCCCTTGATTGTCGACGACGAAGATCGACAGGTGCCCGACGTTCTGGAAGCGGACAAATCGCAGCTCGACCGACTTCTCGCCCTTCGCCTGCGCCTCGTCGAGCACCACTTCCTGCGCAGCCTCGGTCGATTCTGCGTTATCGAAGTCGACGCCGCTCTGGTTGACGAAGAGCTTGATCGTCTTTGGCGCATTGGCGGAGTGGGAGGAGAGAGTAGTGAAGCGGATGGCGCGGAGCTTGATGGACTGCTGAAATGGGATGTGGAGGAGAAGCTGCTCGTCGGCGTCGGATTCGAGCCACTTGTCCCCGCCGCCTCGCAGCAAGTCCTTAATCGTGTGTCCGGCCGCTTCGTTCAGGCAGTGGATTTGCGACAGGTCGATTTGCGAGTTGAGCGAGGTCTGCCAGAGGCAAAGTAAGCGATCCTTGCCTTCGAACGAGAAGTGGGCATCTGGAAACGCACGAAGCCCTCGAGTCCCTTCTCCACGGGCGCGCCAGATCCGCTCGCTCCAGCACCGCCCGACGCAGGCGCATGCTTGCTGACCATCGCCATCAAACCCGCCGGATTCGCGCCCTTCATCTCGTCGACCTTGTTGGCTCCCTTCAAGATGACGAAAGTCGGCATCGCCGAGACGGAGAACTTGCGCGCAATGTCGGGGACGGCATCCACGTCGACCTTAAGGAACTGGAAGCGGGAAGGAGAGAGCGTGAGTCGGAGTCTCGTCCAGCAAGACGAGGAGGAGAGGGTGCGAAGGGATGAAGACGCACCTGCACTCGCCCGGCATACTGCGATGCGAGCCTCTGGAAGACAGGAGCGATAGCCTGCGAGTCGCCACACTCTGTCAGTCGTCCTCCGCGCCCGCTACATGACAGCACCGCCTCTCCACTTCAACAGCTCGAACACACCTTGCAAGGACCGCACCTGCGAATTAGAGCCGTGTCAGCTCAGGTTTGACCCTTGGGCGGAAATGGGCTCACCAGACGGCGTGGAAGTCAAGGATGGAGACCTTGTTCGCATCCGAGGTGAGCGAGTCCAGCTGCTGGAGGCTCGAGACCACGGTGATGGACATGGCTGAGACTGAGCGGATTAGTAGAGAAAGGCTGGCCGAGCAGCAAGCGCAGCAGAGGAAGCGCAGTGAAGATGAGGAAAGCAAGAGGACTCGAGGACGAGGTGGGGAGGAGCACAAGGCGCATCACGCTTTCGAGGCGCACTCGAGCGGCGAGAAAGCTCATACAGGCTTGCACGAACCATAGACCAACGCCGGAGCCTGGCAGTAGAGTGACAACAACATCCTCCTCGTCAACAACCAGAATTCCCTTCTGCTCGCGCCGCACTGTCACCTGAACTTTCCCGCCATCACGTCTTTGCCGCAAGCAGTAAGATGCACGCCGCGAGCGTGAGGAGGCCGATTCCGACGATGAGCAGGTCGGTGAACTGCCACGAAGACGGTGAGCTAAGTTCCTGCGCTTGAGAGCAAAAACAACGGACCTTCCCGGCATAGACGAAGGCTTTGTGTTGCGCGTATCCTGACTGACTGCGGTAGAAGGTAGTTGTGCCGATGACGAGGCTGGCGATACAGGCGATGAAGAAGAGAATGCCCAACTGCGTATGGCTAAGATCAGCCTACTTCAACGAGAGGAGTACGACGTTAACGCACCGGCACTTGCGCCTTCTGTTCCCACTCGGGCAACTGGACTTGTGAGCCGAACTGGAAGCGGATCAAGAGGGCGGCGGAGAGGACGGCGAGGGTGGAGCTCAGCTTGATCCAGCTGAGGAAGTTGCGCTCACGGGCTGAAGAAAGCACTCTGTCAGCATCGCACTCAGAGCGTTTGAAGCGCGAAGTGAGCTGTACCGAGGTAGTCGCGAGCTGACGGGAGGGGTCAAACGGGATCAGCGAGCGTTGAGGCGGCAACAACACCTCAGACGCACCTGTCGAGGCATCGTTGGGGATGATGAGTCGACCCCAAAGCTTCTCAGAGAACGGCCGCCGCTCCTGCGACTCGAGGGAGCTGGGAGCGTCTTCATCGGGAGTCGGAGGAGGGTGGGTTCGAGTCGAGTGTGTAGCTGTCGCGGTGGCCATGGCTGTGTCGTGGCAGCAGTAGTGAAGTAGGAAAGCCAAGTGCAGTCGCCAAAAGCGTCTCGGGATGATGAGAGGGAGGGGAGCAGAGGAGAGGAGGGAGAGGACGCTTGCGAGGGCCCGAAGGCAACGCAACTGCGCCTGAGCGTGCTCCTTCTGCTTTTCATTGGCAGAAATACATCTCAATAGTGTCTACGAGCTCGCCAGAAGGCCTACGAGGACCGCCTTGGCCCGCTCAACCTCCTCCTTGCCCGCCGCTTCAAGCCAAACCTCCCTCACACTCGCATCCACCGCCTTCTCTGCCTTGACGATCTCCAGTCCAACTTGTCCCGACTCGACTTCTGCTTCGCTCAGATGCGCACCGGCAGCCTTGAGCGAGCGGACGATGGCAAGACCGAATGTCCCGCCTGCTTTCGCTGCGTAGAAGAGCGGAGAGTGGCCGTGCGTGTCGCGGACGTGGACGGATGCACCGGATGCGAGGAGGAGGTCGACGTTCTGAGGGTTGAGAGCGAGGACGGCGAGGTGGAGAGGGGTCTGGAGGGTGACGGAGGCGGGCTCGTTCAGGAGGGACGGCAGGGCGAGAGGGTGGGAGCTGGTCGCCGTTGTTGCCGAGATAGGCGTCGCATTCAATACAGAGAGGGAGGTGACGAGCGTCTGGAGGAGCTCGCTGCTGCGAGAAGCGGCCTGCGCGAGCATGTACGGCAAGACAGCCGCCTTGAGCGCATCCTCATCCGCCAGACTCGACGGCCATGCTGAGGTGAACTCCGAAGGCAAGACAGGGTCTTCGCCTGTCAATTGAGGCTTGACGACCTTGTGCGGCGAGACCGAGGAGCGCGAGTTTGGCGGGGCGCATTCGACGAGTTGGGAGAAGAGGGTGCGAAGGCGGGTCTCCGTATCGAGCGGTGAGGAGTACGTCGGTACGGGTGCGACGGGAGTAAGTTCGCCTCGCAGCGGTTGAGCGAGCAGTTTCCGAACTTGTGCCGGCGTGAGTTCGGGTTTCGAGAGGAGGTACGACAACTTTGCGAGCGCGCACTCGGTGGTCATGTCACCACCCCCGACGATTCCAACAGCTGCGAGAGCTCGTCCAGTCTCGTAGATGTCAGGCGCGACGGATCCGACCTCGCACTGCGAGACGTTAACGATCACGACGCCGCGCTCGTTTGCCTGTCGGAAGGCGTCGAGCAGTTCTGGTCGTCGGGGGGCATTGCCGGCGCCGTAGCTCTCTAGAACGACGCCTCGGATGCTGCTGGGCTGAAGGAAGGCCCGGATTGTGGCGCCGGTAATGCCGGGGAAGAGGCGGAGGGTCGCTGCAGGGGAGGACATCAGCGCGACGTCTGCACGATCCGTTCATTCTAGACGTACCAACGTCGGACGAAAGCGACTTGTGCGCTCGGAAAGGGCGCGGACCGGGACGGAGGACTTGCGACCAAGCGACCTCTGCCCCGCAAGACCCGTCAGCCTGCTGCGTTCCAACGGCACATCCACTCGTAGTACCCACCCACATCGATCCCGACCGTCGCAAGCGGCGGCAAATTGAAGCTCTGAAACGCATGGAAGTCTTCGGACGAAGCCTTGACCGAGCGGTTCCCTCGGAAGAGGTGATTGTCGAAGAAGAGGCAGACTTCCGGGATGATGAAGTGGCCGGCAAGAATGAGCGAGCCAAGGAGGTTGTCGATTGCGTCGGTGAAGAGCTCGCTGAGAGGGATTTGCGCGCCGGTGAGGATGGCGGTCTTTCTGCGTAGAGAATGCATCGTTAGAGGCAAGGTTCTGCAATGTGCTGGCGTTCTTACGCACCCTAGGTCTTCCTGCAGGCGTGGAGAAGTCAGCGAGGAAGTTGTAGAAAGCGCGCGAGTGTGCGCACCAGCATGAATGACAAGGCGGAAGCGGAGAAGGCGAGCGTGTCGGTTCCGTGGAGGATGATGAACCCGTCAAAAGCATGGTAGTTGCGCTCGATGTCGCTCGCAATCTTGATCCAGTCGCTCGGCTCAATCTCGCTCGAGTCAATCAAGTTGGCATACTCCCAGATCGCGTAGCGGATCCGCTTGCCTTGCGCAAAGCGAGGCGTCAGGAGTGCTGGGAGGTGGATCGTGCCGCAGGAAGTTTCGACGCGGATGGTGTTTGGATCTTGTTCGGGAGGAAGGACGGGCGGGTGGATGGGCGTTGATGTACCGCTGTGCGAGCGGGTCGACCATTGCGAGAAAGCGCCGACGGACGAACTGTTGGCGAAGACGGACTCGCCCGCTGGGTCATGGAACCTGTACGGAGATTTCGCGGAGGAGCGAAAGATGCCGGGCAAGCGGTAGAAGGTGCCGAGGAATCAGTACAAGAACCGGAGAGCGAGCAAGATCCGAGGAGAATGGGAGCTTGCCTTGATTGGGACCGCAAGCTGCGCGATGCAGGGATGATGAGAGGCAGCGCAGGGAGGACGAAAAGGCTCGAGGAGGGTCAATAGCTGCTTCCACGAAACGAAGCGGATCGCAGGCGGAAGCGGCGATAGTTCGCGCGCACTCACTTCGATGCGAGGAAACCGGGGTGCGGAGCGTATCCGCCCGACTCGTTCTTGAGCATCCCAATCGTCCCGCTGGGTTGGGAGCACCATCGAGCGAGATTGCCGGTTCCGGCGGGGGGAGGAGGAGGACCAAAGGTTGGATGAGTTGTGCGCTTGCACCAGCGCGGTGAATGAAGGTGACGCTCACCCAGTGTACAGCATGAGGACTCGCGCCTCCGTCTCGGCAGCCATCGCGCGCTGTAGAGGTGCACAGAGCCCCGCGAGAGATCCGAAAGCGGTGAGGGGGTTCCCAGCAGGGTGAGCGGCTCGCGCTGGATGCGGGCAGGGTGACAGGCGTCAAGAGAGAGCCTGATGAGCCGTACAGCGTCCAAGCTAGCAGCAGGAGGGAGCGCAAGGCGCGAGAGCGTCGGCCGCGGTGAGGCGGCGAACAGCGGGATGCGAGCGGGATGGCTTCTCTCGCTCGTCCCGCTCACCGATGGACCGCGAGCGTGCTGGAGCGTCGTCCTGGCGGGCTGATTTGCGTATTCTGGCGGCGTCACAGCCAGCGCGACTCAAGGTTGCCTCGCTGCTCGTCGCATCGTCCTCCTCCTTGAGTGGAGCGACTCGCCGGCGGCCGCGTTCGGACGGAACGGCGCTCGATTGCACGCCCGGCTCCGGGAAGTACGGCAGGCTGTCGGACAGGGGAAAGCGCGTGCGTGCCTGAGGATTGCTCTCCGCTGATTCTGCTCTCCCGCGCTGGATCGCTCGGATTCCCCTTCCCACGGCCAAGCCAGATGTGATGAGGGCGCAGGCCAACCGCTCGTGATCGAGCCCTGCTCCCGTCCCAGTATTCCCGCCGACGTGCGATCCGGCCTCGGAGGCAATCGCCCTACAAAACGCTCCCTCGAATCGCTCTCTCTGCTCTCTCTCTCCTCTTCCTCCGTCTCCTTCGTCCTCTCGTACCCTCCGTCTCCTCTTTCCGTCCATCCTCGAACCCTCGCCGTCCTCAGCCATGCGTTCCACCGTCGCTATCGCCTCGCTCGTCTCCCTTTCGACCTTGGTCGTCGCCCAAGGGTTCGTCCGCTTCCTCCGTCTCCCAGCCGCCCCAAGCTGACATTGACTCGCACCGATAGTGGCTACGGTCGCTTCCAGTGCACCCTCGTCAACGGCGACGGCACCTTCTCGGCTGGTAAGTGCTCGGCCTCATGAGAACGACGTTTGGTCCTTGAGGACGTCGTCCGACGTCTCGCTCGCACAAGCTGACGATGTCTTCTGTCTCCATCGCAGACCCCAACCAGTGCGCCGACAGCGCCTTGATCCCCACCGGCACCAACGACCCGACCTCGCCTTACCAGGGTGACCAGCCTCCCCCTACCGGCGCGCAGTGCGTCCAGGACCTCAATGGCCGATACTACTGCGGTATTGCGGGCGCTTCGTGCACCAGTGACGCCAACTGCGACAACGGTGTCTGCTCGGGCGGTGTCTGGTGAGTTGGCTGCCATCTCGGTTCTCCCCTCTTGCTTCGCCTTTCAGAGTCGTCCATGGCTTGTCTAAGCGCTGACCACGCACGACTTCCGCAGCACCGGCACCTACAACGCCCAGTGCGGGGCCGACGACTCGCTCTGCCTCGGCTACCTCTACTGCACCGACCCCTTCGGCAACCCTGCTTCGGGCGTCTGCGGCGGAATCGGCAACTACTGCCAGGTACGCTCCATGGAGCAGCGTCTCGAGTTGAGTCGCCAGCGAAGGAAAAGAGCGCTGACGCCTCTTCATATTTCTCCCCCTCGCATTGACAGGACTACACTGAGGGCAGCAACACCAACTCGGACGCCGTCAACGAGGCGCTGTGGAACCAGAACTGCGCCAGCGGCTACTGCAGCTTCGTGCGTTCGCCCTTCTCTGCAGCTAGATCGGCTACATCTTCGAGCCTTTTCAAGCTGCAGCGCTGATGCTCCTGCCTACTATGCGCAAACAGAACCAGGGCGTTTGCGCTAACCACGTCACCAACATCGGCGGATCCTGCGCCGACGACCCCGAGTTCGTGAGTCTGACCTCCTCCGCCGTCTCCCTCACTATCAATGCTGACTCCGCTTCCTCCCGCAGGCCTGCACGGTTGACCAGGTCACCGGTCGCGCGCTCACCTGCGACCCGACCACCAACACCTGCCAGCTCCTCGCTGTCCCCTCGGCCCGCGCCCGCGCACGCCGCAACGAGGCCTTCTTCAAGCGCAATGCGTGCCCCGCTTCGCACACCGCTTGCCGCATCGAGGGCCAGCGCGGCTTCGAGTGCATCGACACGTCGTCCAACATCGAGCAGTGTGCGTTGCCTTTATCTGCGACTTGGGAAGGTCGAGCTGGGCTGATTTCTTGCGTTCTCTTCCGCTACAGGCGGTGCTTGCGCGACCGAGGGCGGCGTCGACTGCACTGGTCTTCCCGGTGTCGAGGCTGTCGGTTGCGTTGCCGGCGTCTGTGCGTCCCGCTCCTTCCGCCTCTCCTCCTGGAGCGCGCCTCGACTGACACCGAACGTCTCCCCGCAGGCGAGATCTGGTCGTGCCAGGACGGCTACACTTGGGACTCGGCTACCGCTTCGTGCAAGGCCTAAATCCGCCTCGCGCCAGCGCCCGACTCTCCCCCTTCTCCCTAGACTTCGTTCTTCGCCTCTCTCGCCCTCGCAAAGCCTCTTTTCACGACTCCGCCATGTATCCAGCCTCAGCCTCCTCATCGACGATCGCTATACGCTCGCTTCGCCTTACACACCACAAAAACAGGGTTTCCAGTTTCTCTCGCAGTGCAAAGGTGGGCGGACTGCCATCCGCCTCGCTCCTCCCTCTTCCCACGAGCCGTATCTCCCATTCTACCTGGCCGTTAATCGTCACGATATTCTCCTTATTCGTATAGCGAACGAACAGCTTTTTGTACGGCCTCGAAGTCGTGCAATTCAAGTAGACAATCGCCTCCTCCTCGTCGCTTCGCTCGCTCGATCCTCGCCGGCGCTGTCCCCTTCGCTTGTCCGCTCTTCCGCCGCTCTTCCGCACCGTCACACTGAGCTGGCGGAAGTCCAGCGAGCAGTAATTGACAGGGGCTGCGGCGAGTGAGACCTTCTGCAGCGGAGTCCGGACGCGTTCCCGTCGCGCTCCAGAACAACCTCAGCTCTTTCGTTCTTGGGCTCGTCCTTGTCCCTTGCTGGCCCTACACGCTCGTTCTACTCACCCAAGTCATTCCTTCACTCACCCGCGCGAACCACCGCGATGCTCTTCTCCCTACCCGCCGTTGTGCTCGCGCTCGGCACAGCTGCTGGCCTGGTCGACGCTGCTCCCAGCCCGCCACGACCTCTGACCATCGAGTTGACCAAGCGCGACCTGCGCTTGAAGAACGACGACGGCAGTGTCAACATCGCGGGCTTGCAGGCGCAGACGGTCGCCCTCACACAGTTCGTTCGGTGTCCTCCTTCCTCATCGTCTCTCAACCTGGAACTGATTCGACATTCCTTCTTGTCCATCCGCAGCAAGTACAACAGGGTGCGCAGCCGTCTCTTGCTCCAGCGAAGCCGTCTAACCTCCTCCCTCCGCCGCAGAACCGCAACAACTACCGATACCATGCGTTGGGCGAGGGCAAGAACCCCGAGTCGCGGATGGCGCGCGAGAAGCGTGCGAGTGCTGGGACGATCCAGCTGACGGAGCAGAGCATGTCGGGTGAGTTGGCGGTTCTTTCGATTCGAAAACCTGGACGAGAAACAGGACTTCGGCCGCTTCGTCCTGGCGTTTCTCCCGAAAGGGGCGCATATCTGCTCAGAGGAGGCTTGAGGAGTGATGCGACTGAATTGCTGACGACATGGCGCACGCAGTCTGGACTGGCAAGGTCTACGTTGGCACTCCCGTTCGTCCTCCGCTTCCTCACCTTGTCCTCACTCTCCAGCTTCTAACGCCTCTGCTTCGCAGGCTGTTCCCTTCAACATCTACTTTGACACCGGCTCGAGCGACTTTACCATTGCCTCGATCGCATGCGGCACGTCTTGCGGCACGAAGCAGCGGTACAACTATACCGCCAGCTCGACCGCCGTCAAGACGACCCGCACAGTCACGACCAACTTTGTCGACGGCACATCGTCGAGCGGGTGCGTGCGAAGATTGCTTGGTCCGAGGGAACGAAGCCTGACGAGCGGTTTTTGCATCTCGCAGCACCCTCTACACCGACACGGTCACGATTGCCGGCGTCACCGCGAACCAGCAGGCTCTGGTCGCCGCTTCGTCGCTCTCGTCTACCGTCGCCGACATTGCCTCGGACGGCCTGATGGGTCTCGCCTTCTCCTCCCTCTCCGGCGCCTACACCTCCTCTTTCATGTTCACCGTCAACTCGCAAGGGACCGCCGCATACCCCTACTTCTCCATGCGCCTCAACAACAACGGACCGTCCGAGATGACGTTTGGCGCGTTCAACCGCCTCAGGTCAGCGAGCGGGAACCCCCGTTGGTACCAGCTTGCGACCGACTCGGGCACGTATACCTACTGGCAGTTCGGCATGGCGGCGCCTTGGGTCAACAACAAGACAGCACTGTCGACGCCGACGAACCACATTATCGACTCGGGCACGACCCTCATCGTCGCGCCGCCCTCGTCCGCCGCCGAGTTCTGGTCGCACGTCCCCGGCTCGGCTGTCTACAACAGCAACTTCTGGACTTTCGTGAGTTATTGAGCACTCCTGCGGACGGAGGAAGGAGACTGACGATATCCTCGTCGTGGACAGCCCTGCGCTTCGCCTCCTCAAGTCGACTTTGCCTTCTCTCGCATCACCCTTCAGCGCTGGGGTGTCTCGCAGGACTGTACGTCGTCCTTTGAATCGGTACTACGTCCATATGGCTGACGCGGACTTCACTCAAAAAGCCTTCAACCTTGGCTACCTCGCCGAGGACCCGACTCGCTGCGTCGGCGCCGTCATCGGCCAGAACCTCGGCCTCGGCTCGTCGTGGATCCTTGGAGATGCTTTCCGTGCGTGTCCTCTCGCTGTTACGGAAGGCGTGTTTCAAACTGACGGATGCGTTCTCGCCTCGTCTCCTCTCCTCGTTCCGCTCGGTCCTCTTGATCAGTCACTGTGCGTCGGCGTCCGCTCCGCTCCATTCACACCCTTGCATCTATACTGACGAGTCTCGACTCGTGCAGAACGTCTACGTCGTCCACGACGTCGCCAATAAGCGCATCGGACTCGCCATCCCTCGCTAGACTCGCCTCGCCCCGCACCCAGCCCACCTCTTCGTCTTTCTTGCCGTCGCCTCGCATATTTAGACCGGCATCTGCACTTGCATTCACAGCATTGTCGCCTTGCGGGACGTTCGCGGTCGACGGGGAGACGTCCTGAGCGAACGGCTTGTCCTCCGCTTGCGCTCGCGAGACGCTGCGCTGCATTCGCTCGAGCGAGCTGGGTCGAGGCTGGAGTTTCGCCTGCTCTGTTCGCTGCCACGCTGCAGATCAATGCGGACGCTCAGGACCTGCGAGCGGGCTGAAGCACCTCCTCTCGCTGGATGTCAGCTCGCGGACAATGGCTGCGGAAGACAGTCGCGATTCATCTCCACGTTGAGTGAAATGCGATCGCAGAGCTTTGCAGCCGGTTCCTGATGCGGGGAAATCTCGAACCGCGTCTCGCGGAGTTCCTCGATTCTTGTTTGCCGACTTGTCTCCCGCCGCACACCGCGTCGCAGGGCTTGCTCTCGTCCCAGACGCTGCTCTCGTACTGTTCAGCTTTGATCGCACAGCTTTTCCCGACTCGCCAGCTCGCTCGTCGCCGGCCCAGCATGCCTTCCTCGTCCGTGGTCGCAATCACTCTCGCCGCGCTTCTGTCGACCATCGAGCTCGCCAGCGCCCAGCTCCTCGCCAATGGAGACTACTTCCAGGCGGGAAACATCTCGCCGACTTGGCGGTGGCAGGCGTCCGGCGTCCTCTACCACGGTCGGTGTCCCTTCTCAGTGGCATCGCAGATTTCGGACTGCTACCAATCGTGCGTACTTGCTGTCAGTGGTATCAGAACGGACTCCGATTGAATGTGTTTGCCGTGCAGGGTCCTGAATGCGACCGGAGACCTCGAATCGACAACCCAGTCCGACTACCTCGCCGCCATGTCGTCCTCATCCGCTGCCGCCGCTCAACCGACCTCGCCCGCACGGCGCAGTATCAATTTTGGCGGCGAGCTTGCGGCACGAGGCGTCTTCAACAGCTCGAACTACGCCGTTTACCGCAAGTCCATGTCGGCGACGCAGAAGTCGGCAGAGCAGCGCGCTTTGATGGACGACGAGGACCTTGAATCGTACTTTGAGGCGTTCCCTGACGTGAGTGCGAAGGGTAATAAAGCAGCGAACGCGACGCTGATGCTGCTTGCGCCTGCAGCAACTCCCTTACCGCTTCGCGAACTACATGTCCTACACGCACGGCTCGAGCTTCAAGGTGCGCGGACTTTGCGTTTGTCTGATCGACGCAAAGCTAACGACGTAGCCCACAGGCGAAGCGTCAAGTCATCGGCTGCGGCACAGGTGGAACGACCACGACTCAGCCTCCGTCCAGCACGACGACAACCTCTGCTCCTGCGACCTCCACTACCGCCACTCCTCCTTCTCCTCGCCAGCGCAACGAGATTTTCACCTGGCCGGGAGCGACCGCCGGGCAGACTTGGCACTACACCTGGAAGTCTTACCAGAGCCCGGGAACTTCGACCTCGTACAACTTCTTCCACTCATGGCAGTGCGTCCAGTTCCCTCACTTCTTCTGTTGAAGTCGCTGACGAGGCGTTTCGTTCAGAATTCTGCGGAGGGACGGCTGTGGTGGACCGGTCGTCACGCTGGACTACCTTGGTGCGAACCCCTCTCTTCGTCTCTTCCGACTCTCGCTCACCTTCGCGTATCACAGATGGCAACGTCGTCATCCAGGACACTGTACGCGGCTGCAAAGACTGCGCTAGCTACATGAAGCACACGCTGTGCGTCCGCCGCCCTCCCTCGCCCAGACTTTCCTCTGACCTTCTCTTCCTCAGCGGCTGGTTCGGCCAGGTCATCTACCACGACCTCAACATCACGTACGGCCTCAACGGGTCCATCAACTACCTCGCAAAGGTCAGCAATGCCCTCCGTCCTGGCATGCTCCGCTACTCCGCGACGGGCGACATGGGCTCGTCTGCATCGCTCAAGGTGTGTCTCCCTCTTCTTCCAGGCTGCAGCAGAGGCTGACATGATGATTCTATCGTAGTTCGGGGCGTATCGCCGTGCGATCAGTGGCATGTCGCCCTCGACAAGCTACGTTGGCGACTTCACGCAGACGCAGCTCGCTTGAGCGCTTCCTTCGTCTTGCCCTTGTACCCTTATCCTCCATGCTCTGTTCGCCGAAGGACTCTTTATACGCATACCCAGTAGACTGTAACACAGGCCTTTCAGTAGGAGCCGCTGTGCGCGTGCGATTGAGGAGGAAAGGAAAGTCGCCTCAACCAGTTCCGCTCCGCTCGCTCGCGGGTCTCGTCTCGTCGGCTGCTTTGTGATCATGCACAACAACTGTTACAGCCACGCACGCGTTACGCGGAAACTAGAACGAAGTGGAGCTATGGGTATCGCAAAACCGGGCAAACGAGAGGCAACACCTTCCGCCGACATCAATCGTCCTCCGCCTCATTATCCACATTGATACCGTCTTCACTCTCCTACATCTGCGGCGGCCCACCCATGCCGCCTTCACCCTGCACGCCCAGCGCGTCCGCAAAGTTCTGCCAGCTCTGGAAGTCGAACAGCGAGTCCGGCAGCATGCTCGGCGTTCCGTCCGACGTAAAGCCGAACGGATCGAACGCCGCAGACTGGTCGCTGCCGAGTGGACCACCGAGGAAAGACGTGCCCATTCCGAGTCCGGCAGAAGTCCCTGGCAAGCCGGGGATACCGCCTGCAAGGCCGTTGCCGTCCATGGGCAAGCCGAAATTGAGCGTCGGGTTGAAGGAGAGGTTGTCGAGGCTCGAGTCGGGGAAGACGAAGGAGAGGTCGGGTGGAGGGTTGGGTGCGGGCGCGGAAAAGGCTGCGCTCCCGGAAGGCGGAAGGCCTGTCGTCGTCGGCGCTGAGCCGGCAAGTGTAGGCGTAGAAGTTGGCGGGAGAGGCGGAGGGAGAGGGAGGACCGGGGTGTCCGTCGCGTTGCCGGCCGAGCTTGAGGCCTCTGCGCCTGTTGCGCCGTCCGCAGAGTGGTCCTCCTCGCCCGCAACATGCGTGGTCCGCAAGCTCGAGGCGTATGGCGAGCCATGCGTGCGCGGGCTGGGACCGCCGGAAGATGCGGGCGAGGCGGACGAGCGGATGAGGCCAGAAGGATCGTTGACGCGGCGGTCCGTGACGAAGTAGCCGCCGTCCTTCTTGTACCGCAAGTGCCAGTCTTGCTCTCTAGTTCACGAATCGACCGTCAGCACGAGTGGAAGAGACACTTGGCGAGTGAGACGCACCTTTGCCTGACGCCAGCAGTCGGGTTGAGCGTCGTGACCGCGGTAGTCCCGCTTGACGCGGGCGACAAGCCCTCGGCAGCTTCGGGCGCCCATCGCGCAACGGAGCAGGCGGTGTGGTAGAGCAGGTGGATGATCTCGGCGATCTTGGCGCGGACGTAGCATTCGCCATCAGGAACGACGAGGCGCTGCGGAAGATAACGTCAGTCGTGCTAGCCCAAAGCAACTCACTGAGTACAACGCACCTTGAGACAGTCACGAGCGAGACGGAGGGTGGAGAGCGAGGTCGAGTCCCGCCGGCGAATGTGCGAATGATATCTGCCGACGTAGCAAATCAGTCAAAGATCCCGCGAAGGACGAGAAGCATACGCACTGAATGAGGCTGCAGATGAAGAATGCGTACGTCCCGACGAACCAGCCTTCGAGGCACGACTCGTTCTTGTCGACCCACTCGATCGCCTCCCTCGCTTCCGCCTCGACGACGGACCATTGCTGCGTGCCGACCGAGAGCGAGGCGAAGCGTTCGGGTAGCTGGAACGAAATGCGCATGAAAGGGCGGGTGATGAGGAAGCGGACGGGAATGTAGAGGAGGTGGAGGAAGCCTGCGAGGACGAGTGTCAGTGGATGCGAAGTCGAGTTCCGCGGGACGAACTGACCCTGCTCAGGCGTCGACTTGGCGGGACCTTGGAAGCGCAGCTCTTCGGGCAGACCGCTGACCCAGCTATAGACGAAGCGTAAGTCAGCAAGAGAGAGAGAGGCCGGAGGAGGGCGGTCGCAACTCACGCCGCGAGGTCCGAGACGAGCGCCTTGGCGTGCTTCTCGGAGAGGAGCATGATGCCGGCTGTACGACAATTCCTCCACAACCATCAGCTCAACTCTCGCGAGAGCGCGGTCGGGGCAGAGGGGCGTTCGAACGTACTCGGCGAGTAAACAGCCTTCAAGATCCTCCCGAGCAAGATCGAGAGCGAGATAAGCGCGCTGTTAAAGAGGTACGGTCGTCGCTTCTCGTCAAAGTCGAGGTTGGGCCGGATGTCGAAGACAGAGGGGAGCATCGTGTCGCAGTCGGCGAGGTCGATCATCATCGGTTGGCCATACTGCGCAGGCGGGACAGTCAGCAAGACGCCGTGAGAAGGAGAAGCTTGGACGCACGATAGCTGAGATCCACCGGTCCGCAATCAGGCAACCTCCCCAGACTCGCCGCCTCAACTCCGTATGATCCGCCTCACTCTGCTCCTTCCGCTCACTGCCCAACTTGCGATGCAGACCTAAGTCCTGCGCCATCCGCACCGCCAATCCGAGAATGTTCCACGTCTTGCTCGCCGCCGTACCCTTCTCGAGCTCCATCGAGAAGGCATAGATGAGAAGGGCCTGGATGTTCGGGATGGTCGAGTTGTCGAGCATGTCCTCGGCGCGGAGGTGTGAGCGGATCGTCGCTTTGATGACGCGGAGGATGGAAGGGGCCACGTGATGAGAGAGGGCGGAAACGGCGCAGATGGCGTTGAAGAGGAGAGGGGCAGGTTGTTCCGAGCCGAGGAAGTCCGCCTTAGCGACGATCGGGAAGTGGTTGGCGTGGGTCGTGAAGAAGTAGTTGAGCAGCTTCTCGGCGTCCGAATGCTCGATGCCCTGGATCGCAACCGGCTCGCCGCCCTGCGAAGGATCCCCATCTCCCGCCGAGATGACGCGGATGAAGCCGTCTCCTCGCTCGTCGACCGACAGTTGCTGCGAGTACTTGAAGTCGACAGGAATCATGCGCTCGGTCGGGAACGTCGAAGTCGAATGCATGAGATGCGAGATGGAGGTGTAGCCGACGATGCGCGGTTCTTTTCGCGGTCCTGTTGGCGCGAGGTTCGAGTCGGGGGAAGAAACGATAGCGTCGATAGGAAAGATCTGCTGTTTCGGAACGACGTGACCGGCTGTTGGCGATTTCGGCGGCACAGGGAGCGAGTCTTCGCTTCGGGCTTGCTTCGCCAGAGTCGCAGAAGTCGCTGCCGTTGGGAGCGCCACGCCTGCCGCAACCGCTGACTCTTTCGCTCGTTCCGCCTCCTCCTTTTCTCGCTGCTTCTTGAACCGGGTCTCCGAGATGGGCAGGAACTGCGGGCGGTAGACAAGTCAGCCAGGTTACAAGGGGAGCGCATGCCAGGAGGGCTACTCACCCAGGTGCAGTCGAGTGAGTGCTTCTTGCAGTAGACGCAGACCATCGGCTCAGAGTCGGGGATGGGGTTGCAGCTGAGGAAGGGGAGCGAAATCAGCAGGATGAGCAGGACGCCCAGTAGCGAAGGGTTCACACGCACCGAACCTTGCGCGACCGGCACGCATCGCACGCTCGAGGCGTCTTTGGCTGCAAGGACAGACCCAAAGTCAGCAGACTTGGCGAGCGCAACGAGTAAAGGCGGGAAAGGACGAACCTTCTTGGCCTTGCCCGCCTCGCTCTCTGCATCGCCAGGCGTCGTAGAGCTCTTCCTCTTCTGTCCGGCATTCACTTTCCTGCCGTTCGCATCCGTCCCAAGCGGAGGAGGAGACATCAACTCGCCCATCCCTCCCGACGCGGCCTGCTCGTAACTCGTCCCCGCAAGCGCATCCATGCTGGGGAACGACTGCTGCGCTGCGCCCGCCTGTCCCAACATTCGATACCTAAGCGACGGGAGCGGGATGTGACTGCTGCTGCCGGACGGAGGCGACATGGCGGCTGATGAGGACGCGGCGGCAAGCGATGCGAGTGCGGGCAGTCGAAATGCGTCGTCTGCGCCTGCCTGTCCTCCTGCTGACCCGCCCTGGCCCGTGTATGCGTCCATCGCGAGTTTGAGTCGACCGACAGACAAGCGGGATGGAGCGCGCACTGTGACGGCTCGGCGTGTGCAGCTCAAAGTCGCGCGAACAGAATCGTCGCAGATCAACACAACCCGCAGCAAGCACAGACGAGCACAGCGAGCGATACGCTGGGTGAGGAAAACGCGGAGCGGCAGGCCCCGCGTCGACTTCGGCACGGCTCACACGGCGGAAGTGGGTTTGTGCGAGTTCAACGGGTTGCAAGTACACAGTGTGTGAGCTTTTCAGTTGTAGAGGAAGGAGGAAAGATGAGGGGATAGATTTGAGGAGGAACGAACGGCGGGAGAAAGGGTGGAACCTGAGGAAGAGGCTATTCAAGCACACGACGGCGGGCCGTTTTTGTCGAAAGCGAGGGAGTCTTGCGAGCGATGATGAAGAACGACCGATGCGAGAACGGGAGGAGAGAGAGAGAGGCGGGAAGGGTGGCGGAAGGGCAGAGGTGTGACCCGCCTAGAAGAACCTCGAGCTCGTGGCGTCAAAGTCCTTCGCGTTGGCGTAGCCGCCGTAGGCCGACTGCTGACCCTGCTGCTGGCCGTACGACGCGTACTGCGGGTACCCGCCAGCGCCGACGCCCTTGTTGAGGCCGATAGCGCCCTGCTGTTGCTGCTGCTGCTGCTGGCCAACGCCGGCACCCTGCTGCTGCTGCTGCGGCGCGCCCTGCTGGCCCTGCTGCTGCGCGCCGACGCCCGCACCCTGCTGCTGCTGGGGCGCGCCGTAGCGCTGCTGAGTCTGCTGAGGCTGCTGGGCACCGCCGTACCCGCCGTACGCGTACTGCGCCTGGAGCGCCGAGAAGTTGGGCGGGACCTGCTGCGGGAACTGGCTGAAGCCGTAGTAGCCGGCGTACGGGTTGTACGCGGCGGCGGCGTACGGGTTCATGCCGTAGAAGTTGGCGGCGGCGGCCTGCTGGGCCGGGAGCTGCTGCTGCTGTTGCTGCTGGGGGGCTTGGGCGGTCTGCGAAGCGCCCTGCGCACCCTGCGAGGTCGAGTCCTCGGGGCGGGTCGGCAAGGGCGACGGAGCCTGGTAGCCCGAGCCGGGCGCGGCGAGCTGGCCGTAGGCGTCGTAGAAGCCCTGCGAGCGTTGCACGCCGTCAGCAAGCTCGTTCGTGGACTCAAAAGACGGATGCTAACTCACCATCGAGCGCATCGAGTCCTGACCGTAGAGGCTCGAGTAGTCGGTCGCCTGCGAGGCGAACGGCTGACCGGGAGCCTGCTGCTGGGGGATCGAGTTGAACGCGGCGTAGGGACTCTGCGACGCAGCGGCGGCAGGAGCCTGAGTCGCGGGAGCAGGCGAGTGCGACGCCGGGTGCTGGAAGTAAGGCGACGAGACGGCCTGAGCGGCGGGGTTCGACTCGACTGGCTTGAACGCGCCGTAGGCCGACTGGTCGTCCTGGCCGAACGCGCCGGGAGCCTGCTGCTGCTGCTGAGGCTGGCCGTACGCCGAAGGCATGTTCGGGTAGCGCGAGAAGGCCGACGACGCCTGGCCGGGGAAGAGGTTCGACTGGGTCGGGGCCGAGTGCGAGAAGGCGGTCTGGACGACCTGCTCCTGCTTGGGCTGCTGCGGGATTTGCTGAGCCTGCTGAGGCTGCTGCTGCTGAGGCTGCTCAGTCTGGACGGCCTGCTGCTGCTGGTACGGCGCCTGCTGCTGCTGGGCGTACGAGGGCTGCTCGGGGACCTGAGGCGCGGCCGTCTCGGGCTTGGCGACGTCCTGCGAGCCGAACGAGGGCTTCGAGCCGTCGAGGAGGTCGAGCGAGCCAAACTGGACGCCGAGGCGGTCGATGCCAGCCGCGCCGGGGAAGACGACAGCCTCCTGCTGCGCGCGCTTGGGGGGGAGACCAGGAGGTCCAGCGCCGAGGAACTTGTCCTGCGCAGGCTGCTGGACGGCCTGAGCCTGCTGCTGCTGGGCAGGCGCGGCGGCCTGCGCAACCTGCGAGTTGACCTCGAGAGGGCCAGCGGTCGTGATGTCGTTGGGCGGGAGGTGGGCGTCAACCTCGCGCTTGAAGGCCGGGTCCTGCTCGGCGGCAGGCTTGGACGCGAGGACCGAGTCGGCCCAGCCCTCGCCGACGGCGAGAGGAGCGGTCTGCGGCGCGGCAGCGGCGGGAGTCGAGCCCCACGGGTCGTATGCAGGGGCGGAGGGAGCGGCAGCAGGGGCGGGAGCGGCGGTCTCGGCGGCCGAGGGAGTAGGGAGGGAGATGGTCGGGCCGGCAGTCGAGGTCTCCTCGAGAACGGAGGCGGAGACGGGCTCGGGCGCAGCCTCGGGGGCGGAAGGCGCGGCGGTAGGGGCGGGGGC